ATATAAAGTTCTCTTTTGCGTTTACAAGATGTCTTTATTCCTAAAGTGATCCAGTCACGTTGTGAAACAGGTGTCTGTTTGTTATCCTTTTTTTTTCCCTTTAAGATAATTCATATGACAGTATTTGTGCTAAGATTCAAATGGCTTTCCCGCACTAAAACTGTTGTAGAATTTAAATTTTAATAAGTATGAGGCCTCTCTATGTTTAATGTTCATATTGAAATAGGAACTGTTTGTTTACTTTTTGTGAATCACATTGCTATATTATAATTGCATCATTATGAAAGAAGTGGGGGATATTTCATTTACTCAAGGTACATTTTAAAACAGATTTTTGTACTGTAGTTTTTATGGTGAAATGAAAGAGGATGCATATAGTTTTATAGTTTTAAACTCACTTCCCAATTGAATGTAATCGTAGAGCTATAGGTGTAGATCATCAATCAAATGAAATGTATTTTAAATGTTCATTTATGTTGGAACAAGATTAAAGGAAGGAAAGAAGTGATAGCTTATAATAGAAGAGAGGTATTTACCCCCTCTTTTTCGTTACTTGCATACTATAGTTTATTGATTGATAGATTGAATTAGATAGAAAAAATGCCTAAAATACAATAATTATATAAACTTGCTGTCTCTTTTATGTACTGGGGGACTCAAAAGCATTTATATTGTTTCCAGGTCATTCTGTATGTAGCTCAAAACTTTATTTAACATCTTATGTGAGCAAGACTTATGTTTCAAGTATGACAGCTAAAATCCAGACTAATCTGGGACAAATCTCACCTGGGACATCAGATATTGTGACCAAAGTTTTTGTGGACTTCCCCAGTCATTCCAGGCAAATGCCAGGATCGTACCTCAGGCCATCACCACTTCCTTCCCCATCCTTTCCAGTTCATTATTCACCACTCATCCTTTCATACATTGTCATATATTATGAGATACTTACAGCCATGTTAACTAAAGCCTGAAATAAATCCATGCTTATTATTCATGTGTTTGTGGCATGCGGCAATGTAGTTGGTTAAGGCACTGCAACAAGCTTGGAGGTCCAATTGACCTAATCCTCTCAGCCTTGCTATGGCTCTGGGATTGACTCAGCCTCTAATAAATGAGTGCCAGGAATCTTCCTAGAGGTAAAGGGCTGTTGGCACATAAGACTGACAACCTCGCTGCCATCGATAGCATAGTTGGTTGAGGCACTGTGCTACAAGCTGGAATGTCATGGGTTCAAGTCCTTATGAGGTGAATTTTTCTTCAATTGACATAATCCTTCCAGCCACACTATGGCCCTGGGATTGACGCAGCCTTTAACAGAAATGAGTACCAAGGATCTTCCTGGAGGGTAAAATGCTGCCGGTGCATAAGGCTGACAACCTTACTGCCTTCTGTGAGCCAGTTGTCTAGAGAAAATGTGGGAGCCTTGTTGTCTCACAACCCTATGGGCCTTCACAACCTCCATCAGGGATAGCTTTACCTTTTTACCTTTTGCCTCACTGCCATCTGTGATCCAATTTTCTAGAAAATGTAGGGAGCCTCAGTGTCTCGCAACTCTATGGACCTCCATGGCTTGTTACAAGGATAGCTTTACCTTTTTATCATTCATGGGTTCTTCTCATTAACAGCAGTTCATAATTATTTTTCAACATTGTCAGAATATTTCTGGAAAATAGTGTTATTAGTGGTTGATATGAGAAAAATCACCATTTCATTCTGTTGACAGATCTGACTTGTGGCGAAGTTTAAAATGGAGTTCACAGCAGAAAATCTTGAGCATGCAGTGTTACAGTTTTACCACTCAGATTCTGCAGTACGAGGTCATGCTCATCAGTGGCTTACAGCTGCTCAGGCATCCCCAGAGGCATGGTGTTTTGTCTGGGAGTTGCTGCACCCAAGCAAGGTCATTACAGTTAACTAGTGAATTAATAAGAAATTGGGCTATTTAATCCTTTAGCCACAGATGTATTTTATGCTTGTTGTGAAGTTAAACGGAAGTTACTTTGAATTTACTTTATATAAAGTCATATCTTCTAGAATTTACCATGTTTTGTGGTAGAAATTAGTGGTGTTTTATAATGTCCTCTGTATTTCTGTTAAAATTCTGTGTTTCATCTGCTATGGAAAAGTGTATATCATCAGTTAGTGACATATACTACTGTGTCATCATTAGAAACTTAAGGGATTATAATTTGCTACACTTCCATTATTCCTGGGCCACTGGGAAATTCATATGTACATTTGCAGGAATTTTCTTCCTGCACAAAGTTGGATGCACACTGGTCCATAGAGTAGATGGAATTTAGCAGATTACATGGCATACCATTATAGGAGATAATACTCTTCTTAACTGCTGCAACCAGAATTTCAGGTTTCACATTATTTTAGGTAGGTTGGAGAGTATGAAACCATATAAAACTGGGCCTTGACAGATCCCACCTATAGGCTCGAACTTGTCGTCTTAAATATGTTGAAGATCATGACATGTATACTGAGTTTTTCCTTTGTACATCCAGTAACATGAGGAACTGACTCTCAGAGATCCATATACAGGGAGCGTTCCATATATAATGCCTCCTATTTTTTTTAATGGAAACTATAACAGATACAGAAAGCATAATAATGCAGTTAAATAGAGCAAGATTTCAGCTACTTACAGTTATTTTTCCACATAATCACCACCATTCGTTATGCACTTTTGCCAGCGATGAACAAGTGCCTGTATGCTGCGCCCATAAGAGTCTGCGCCAGCCAGCAGAGGCTAGCCACTTTCTTACAGCTGCAATGACAGCATCATTGTCGGGAAAATGTTGCCCATGTAGTCGATCTTTCATAGGCCCAAAGAGATGGAAGCCTGAAGGTGCTAAATCGGGACTATAAGGTGGATATGGTAGTACAGTCCAGCCAAACTTTGCAATGTGCGCGGTGGTTGTCAAACTGGTATGGGGTTTAGTGTTATCGTGTTGCAAGCGAAAGGTTGTCTGCTTCTCTGGCCTGACTCGGGTAATGCGGGCTTTCAGCTTAGTCAGCATCGTCTTGTAGCGTTCAGAATTGACAGTCTCACCAGGCTCCAGGAAATCCAACAAAATCACACCTCGCCTATCCCCAAATACTGTGCACATCACTTTCCCTGCCGATTGCTGTGTCTTGAACTTCTTTTCCCTTGGGGAATCCGGATGTCGCCACTCCGTGGACTGTCTTTTGGATTCCGGCTCGTAGTGGTGGCACTACGTCTCATCTCCAATGATGATGCTGTCCAGAAACTTGTCACCTTCAGCCTCCAACTGGTGTAACAGGTCCTGACAGACTTCCATTCGATGAGTTTTGTGGTCCTGTGTAAGCATCCATGGGACCCACCTGGAACAAACTTTGCAATAATCCAGCTTCCCCAACATCGTTTCCAGTGTATTACAGCCGATATTAAGCCGTGCACACAGTTCCCTGGTCATTATCTGCCGATCTGTACGGGTGAGCTGATCGAGGCACTGTTCATTGTGAGGAGTGGTAGCTGAGCAGAGACGTCCAGGGTGTGGCTTGTCGTGCACTTCACTTTCGTCACTGTTGAAACGCACTACCCACCGCCTCACTGTGCTGACATCCACTGTATCATCTCTGTACACCTTAGCAAGCGTCAGTGGATGTTAATGGGTGCAATTTGTTCGGCAGTGAGAAATTCAATATCACATCTCTGTTTCATACACACTTCTATGTCAGATCCCATTTTGGTAGACTGCTCTGCTGTCGCTATCTGTCGCACAACAACCAAACTAACAGTACATTGGCGGGAAGGGTCAACCTTTACTACAACACCACCAACATCCAGCTCAGACGTTACATATTAACACAAAAAAATAGGAGGTATTATATACAGAACGCCTTTTGTATATTCAGGTCTTGTAGTGAAATGCATTGAGAGCTTCTTCAAGAAAGAATAGTTTTTCTTCCACAAACCTTGAATAGTGATAGGTATACTCCATCTGTTGCGGGAACAAGAGGGTGTCATTGATCTATTGGTGACAGGCTGTTACTACATTTTATTTTCAGCATACCTCTCATATTAGTACATTGGTTGAAACTTGAAACACAATTCATCTTCATCATACTTTAGCTCCCACTGAGCATAGGGTATTGATAGAGTGTCCCCATCCCACACAGTTCTTGCTGAGTTGTTCAGTTTCTCCCCATGTCTTCCCAGCAGCTGAGGCTTTCTCATAATGTTCTCTGCTAACTCCTCTATGGCCTTCCTCTTTTCCTTTGCCGTTGTGGGTTCCACACCATAGCCTCCTCCTCGATTGCATTTGCCTTTTGAAGAGTTACGTCTGGTTACCTGTTCAATTATTTTTATTTCATTAGTCCGTTTCCATAGTTCATCATGCTTTATTATAACTGGCCATCTCACCTTTACCTTTCTATGGAAGCAGCGATTTGCAAAACTCAAACACAATTACTCAGCAAGATTGCCTGCACAAGGTATGGCATACCCTGGTTCATAGAGTGGATGGACTTCACCTGTTTTGATGAACTGGCTCTAAAATCATGTTATTGTTTTCATCCACTCTGCTTGTGGGTGGCTATTACAGTGTTCCTCATTACCGATCAAATTTTGTTCGTCTTTGAATCTTGACATACACCTGTATGTCTTGCTTTTAGCTTAAAGTATCTACATTGGCCAGTCATAACATGTCATGTGTTTCTGAAGCTGTTTCATTAAGTCTGAGACAAAACTTGATGCCAAATTTTTGTTCTCTAGAAGCATTCATTAAAAAAATTGTAGAACACAATGTCTGGACATAACTGAATACCTGATATATGTGACTGAACAATGTTGAGTACCATATGTGAGGCAATGGAATTATCCTGCCAACACCTGGATGGAAAAACTATTTTTTTAGCTTACTTTTCTTAATATGAAAAATGCAAGAAGTTCTGGGAAGAACTAATTGCCCTACTTTCCTATAATATGACACATACTGCATAGAAAATGATACATCCAGCTGTTGGAGATGGTGTTTTCTCTGCAGTGCACCCCAGAGTTGTCTAAAGAGGACAACTTCTGGCATCCAGGAATTTGGGGCAGGATGCCCAGACAGACAAACAGATGCCAAGGTGATCTCATAAGCCTTGTTTCCCCCTCCACTTTAAGGGCAGTGGGCTAAAGAGGAGGTTTATAACATTACCTTACTGTCTGTGTATCCCCCTCCACAGTTCCTGCAAGCCTGAAATTGTCCTCTTTGTGTAACTTGATGTTAAACCATAGAGAAAACACCATCTCCAACAGGTGTTCTTTTGGTAGCCTACTTTCCTTGTGTGTCTATCATTGCTAGGCAGTGGCTGGTAAACACGTTCCCATGGCAGTGAATACACATGCAACATTAGAAGAATTGCTAGCCATGTTGTTTTCTATGCAGTCTGTGTCAGATCAAAGGAATGTAAGCAACCAGTTCTTCCCACAACTTCTTGTTATTAGTGATGTCATTTCAAGAGCATCCTTACAGCTTTTGGGTACTACCCCATATGTATGAAATATTGTTCATAAGGTCAGTAATTACAGACATGGCAAAGGGTTGAAACACACTGATGCAAAATCCAGTAGATTTAATACAGAATCTGTACTTTGGCAGCAATTTCTTGCACTAAGATGCAGAAGCTGGTGCTGGTGCTGCCTCCACCACTCCTCATCCTCCTGCACCACCACCTCCCTTCCTTGTCCTAGTCTTACTGCTGCTGCTTTCACTGCTACTGCAACCCACCACCGTCTGTAGCATATTTAGAACTGCAAGACCCAGGAGGCTGGCTCAAGTTGTAATGCTTCTGAGTTGTCAGGAGATCACTAGTTTGACTCTTGGCCAGGAGACCAGCTATCCTGACAGGGTTTTCATCATTTTCCTCAGTTCCTCCAGGATAATACCTCAAATTATACCATGATCCCTCCTTCGCATTTCCTTTCAAATTCATTATTCATTATGTCATCTTGGCATGTGATGCTATATATACTGACATACAGATAACATTAAATAAAAATAAATGCAGTTGCCAGCAACAAGAAAAATTCTGACTTAAGTACGATTCTGCATTATGGCCCTTTGTGCATGAGCTAACCCTGAAGCTGAATTGGATTCTGTTGTCAAGTTGTAAACTTTGAATGTAATATTAATAATGCAAGATTTGTGGGTCCAGGAGCCCATGCAGTAGGGTAGTAGGCTTTATGAGTTCAGCCTGGAGTCAGGGTCTCATGACTCACTCAGAATTGTGAGTCAGAAAAACATGTCCATGGGTCTGGCAGGTTTCCGAACCGAGAATGACTGTGTTGGCAAAGATCAGCAGCAGTCTACCCATCTGACTGACTGACCAACCGACCTGGAAGTTCTTGTTCAATATCCGAGTTGCCTGCAGAATCTTGGTCCACCTCTCTCCAGAACCTTATGACAGAGGCCTAAAAATTCTGGACTGCTTTCTCCTTCTGATGGGTCTTTAAAACCAAACAAACATGCCAGAGAATGAATATAAGCGTCAGATATTGATGGTGGACGTTATTAATATTATTCATCCTTAAGTCAGTTTTTATTAAATGTTATTTCTGTTTGCAGTCAGCAGAAGTTCAGTTCTTTGCAGCGACGACTCTTCACACAAAGTTAGTTAAGTCATGGCATCAGGTCCCCCCTGAACAGTATGCATCTCTGAAGAAACAGCTGTTAGAAGCTATTGCAAGCTATTCAATTGGTCCCAAGATTGTTCTTAACCGCCTCTGTATTGCTGTGAGTATTGTAGACTAAGTGTTGACTATCATAACTTTGGGATAAAATACAGCTGGAAAATGAAGATAATTTTCAGACTAATTTTAGAGTCTTTGCTGGTAAATTAATTCATATAAAAATTATAGAAATTGCACTAAGAAATCATAATTATTGTATTGGATTTATGTTTTATATTTTAAATTTAATGGTATTAGAATTGAGCAAGGGCGTGAAACTGATCACTCACCTCCAGCTACTGCTGAGGTTAAGAAAATGTGGATCTGTACATCCACTCCCCCTACACCGAGCAAGAAACCAGGGAGAGCAAAATCCCCTTCTCTTATCCTCTGGTCCCTGTATAATTGTTATCCTGACTGACAGCTCATTGTGCCTAGCCACCTGCTCCTGCTGGATTCTTGCTCAGCTGATTTTCGACCCTGAAGATGAAGGTGATATGTTCCTCTGAAACGTTTGTTCATGTACGGACGACACGGCGCTATATCCTAGAAGATGGTAATTTTCATGTATATGGTAATTGTATTATGAGTGTTCATTAGTCTGGGTGAGCAGTTTGATGACTTCTTGCTGACAGGATGCAAGAGCAATGAGTGTAAAATCCTGCTTCCCTTGATATGCCTTTTGTATCTTCAGCCCACTGATGCCTTCAGTGAAAGTTTGGGTACCACCAGAATTCCATGGGTAAAGTTCACTTTCACTCTCAGATATATTGCCTTATCAGTTTCACTGTCCAAAATTATGTCCCTCTCAGAATCATATTCATTCCTTAAAATTTATTCCATTTTGAGAAAGGGAAAATTTATATTCTTTTGAGGCTAATGTCTCACTTTTGCCAAGGTGTAACAAGACTGTTATGGTTAGTGCCTGAGATTTTAGCTTCTGAAAGTGATCTGCTTTTTCCATGTGTTTCTTAATTTGTTTGGTTTGGCATTCTCAGCAGAAGTTACCCACTGATGTCACCAAAATATTTGAATATTTTACATTCACTTGCATTGCTTTAATAAGTTTTTCTCAATTGTGGTAATCTTCAAAACCGGGCACAGTACACTAAGCAATACCACATTTACTACACATTATATATTTTCCATAATTTTATGTTCTTTGAGCAAACTGTATAGCTCCATAAAGAGTTTTCATGTTTCTCAATTTATGGAACATGTGTAATTTTGTTGCAGTAGAGTTACTATGATCATACACTACAAGAAATTTGGGGATGGTACCTACTTTAGAAACCACTTAGAACCCCTAATACTTCTGAGAACATTCTGGATTGTCATTCTTAGGATATTCTCCATAATAATGCTCTGTTTGAGGAAAGCAAAATAAACTTATCACTGTGCCTATTCTGAATTCACTTTGTTTCTCAAACCACCTGATCCATTTTTTAATCAAAACTTCAAGTTAATGCAGCATCACAGAAAAGTTCAGAAAAGGTCAAAATGTGCATAAAATCATAGTGTACAGCCTTGCCTGCTCTACCCCCCCCCCTAAAAAAAAGGAAAAGAAAAAAAAGAAAACTTAAGTGTTTGTTTGTGGTCCGTTACCAGAATGCAGGGTAATATCATGACATGAAGGTAGCTAACAGATGTTTTGAAAATGTGGCACATTTCAGATATTTAGGAATGACAGTAACAAATCAAAACCTGATTCAGGAGGAAATTAAGAGGAGATTCAATTTGCATAATGCTTCCTACCGTTCAGTCCAGAACCTTTTGTCTTCTTGTCTCCTGTCTAAAAACATAAAAGTTAGAATGTACAAAACTATAATTTTGTCTATGGTTCTGTATGGGTGTGAAACTTGGACTCTGACATTAAGGGAGGAACATAGATTGAGGGTGTTTGAGAACAGGGTGCTGAGGACAATATTGTGACTGAAGAGAGATGAAGTGACGGGAAGTTGGAGAAAACTGCATAACTTGTACTCTTCACCAACTATAATTAGAATGAGGAAGTCAAGGAGGATGAGATGGGCAGGGCATGCAGTAAGAATGGAGGCAAAGAGGAATGCATATAGGATATTGGTGGGAAAGCCTGACAGAAAGAAGCCACAAGGAAGACCAAAATGTAGGTAGGTGGATAATGTTAAAATGGATCTTAGAGAGGATGGGATGGTATGGACTAGATCAATCTGATTCAAGATACGGATTGGTGGAAGGCTCCTGTGAACACTTTGATGAACCTTTGGGTTCCATAAAATGCTGGGAAATTCCTGAGTAGGTGCACAATTGGTGGCTTCTGAAGAAGGACTCAGCTCCATGAAGTTAGTTAGTTCCATCCAAAAATATGTTTTACTAACACAAACAGTCCCACCAGGCGCTAACCATATTGAAAGAAAGAAATTATTTAATTCCATAGTGGACCATAACCTTTGTTGTCTCTATCCTTGTACCTACAAGAACTGTATTATTTCAATCTGTCATACAACTGCTTGAATGTCGTGTTCACTAGTCTTTGTGCCTACATGTCCATCTCTTGATGAGTTGTTTTCACCATACGTAAACAGTCATGCTTCCAGCAATGCAAAATAGAACTAGCTGGAAACAAACAGTGGGCCAGGTCATTCTCAGTGAATCCAGAAAGGTCCCCACAAAACTGGAAATTTGCACCTGGAAGATGTCAGCTCTTTGTGTACTTCTTCTGCTGACAAGTGCTCACAGAATCATACTTACTTTCTTATGGGGCTGAGCCCTTCTTGAGGTGAAGCCAAATCTGCAGCTACTCAAGAATTTCCCAGCATTTTATGGAACCCAAAGATTCATTACTGTGTTCACAAGAGCCCTCCAATGGTCCCTATCCTGAGCTAGATCAATCCAATCCATAGCATCCCATCCTATCTCTCTAAGATCCATTTTAACACTTTGCGGTCCGGCAATTTAAGTATTTAAATCACCCTGCGGACCGGCATTTTTATACCTACTACCCTAACTTGTGCACTGTTCACTTTAAAAATTAATATAAAATCTCCTAATCAATTTTATGAACTAAAATTTTTTGAGAACACTTACCAATGCTTCTAGAAGTGCTTGAGGGTGTGATATTTCTTGAAACATTCCCCTCTGTGAAGTGGCATTACACAAAACTCGCAAATGTAGGCAGCCCTACTCCTTTTCTTGTGAATTGCGCAAACACGGCATTGCCTAGAAGGCTGCTTCCCCTTGAAATGTTCACTCTTCACAATTTTCATGAGGGTATGTTTCCTCATATCACCCGAGAGTCGCCCTGGGGGGTCAAAATGAGGCCTGCATGGGGTGGAAGTAGACGGCCCCAGTCATACTAAGACTGTGTCTGCCGCCAGTTCTGCCGCCACCATGTGGTCTGTAGCCCAGGCTTTTGCCACATTCAGCAGAAATGCCTTGTATTTCAATTTTGAATGAGGGTTTAGATTTTTGAAAACCAAAAATGAATTGAAAATGGCACAATATATAAGCCACAAGGCAACTTTCTTTGTCCACTTTACTGTTTTCCGAGGAAGAGAATAATAGGCCAAGTACTGATCGGCTCTATCAACTCCCTTCATGAACATATTATACTTGGAAATACAAACAGGCTTCTTTACCTGTCCATATCTCCTTTGAACATCAACCATGCTCGAATTGTGAATTGTGGAAATCATATTCACAACACGAGTATCCCTCTAGGACTGAAGGAGAATATCCCCCTTCCTCCTGAATGTGATTTCACCACATTTCAAGGATTTACATTCCTCTTTCAGATCTGGAGGAAGGCCTCTGTTCACCCTAATTGTTCCACAAACACGTACTTTTCTTGAAAATAGGTGTTCTGCAGTTGCCACACTGTTATAATAATTGTCTTGATAAACATGGTAATTTTGATCAATATAGGGTTCCAAAATGGAAAGAATAGTTTCTTGTAATTTCTTTCCTTCGCCAGAATAAATTTCTAAATTTCCAATATAGCCTGAAGTGCTTTCAGTAACTACACGAACAAGTAGGCCATAAAGAAAGCAGTCTTCTGGGATTTGGCACCGTGTATATGTGGTGTTAACCGACGTTTCGGAGGAACGTATCACCTCCATCTTCAGGGTAGAAGAAAAAATATAAGAAATCTGCAAGCGAAGAGACTTAAATAGTATCCAGCAGTGCATCCAATTCACAATGGGAACTGAAACTGAAGGCCACCTACCCTTCCTGGATATAGATATTTACAGGAGACCCGACAGTTCCTTGGGCCATAGAGTGTACCACAAATCCACCCATACAAACCTGTACCTTAATGCTGCATCCCACCACCACCCTTCCAACAAGCAAGCTGCACTTTC